AGCAGTACTCCACGCGTGGGCCGACGGCCCTGCTCACCGGTTCTGCGGCTGCTAAAACACCTGTGCTGTTTCCATTTTCCAGCTACGATGAATCCTGCCACTGCGAACCTGGGTACAGATTTCTGTGTGGACAGAGATGGAGGACGGGCCAGGCCATGGAGGGTAGACACCTAGGAGGAGAACTGCTGGGTCCTACCGTGGCCCCACATTTCGCCTCCTGGGGAGCCCACAGATGGCTCTACAGAGTGCGGCCCCATTCTCGCCCCGCCAGCAGTGGGTGAGCGGGCGGCCCGACTTCTCCACATCCTCCAAACACTTGCTACGATCTGTCTTTGGAGACAGCCATCCCCGTGGGTGTGAGGGGTAGCTCGCTGCAGTTTGATTTGTGTTTTCCTGAAAGCCACATGCTGAGCATTTTTGCACAGGCTTACCGGTCGTCTGTCTCTTTTTTGGAAAAAAGTCTGTTCAGATCCTTCACCCATCGTTTAATTGGGCCCTTTATCTTGTTAGCATCGAAAATACATAAAAACCCTTGTTGTTTCAATATGTTCCGGCTACAGGCCCCTCGTTACATAAAAGGCTCGCACGTGCTCCCCACCTGGCAGGTGTCTGGCAGGTGGGCTCACCCCCGTGGAGGCGGCTGTCCTCACCACTCCCAGGCGCCCCCAGCTCCTGACGGTTGTCGGTCCTGTGGACGCTCCGATGTTGGCCCCTTCGAGTACCCAAGTGTTGCAGGGGCAGCCAGAGGCTCCCCATTCACCTCCCTGCCCAGGCAGGGGCCCCTCCTACCGCGTGCCCTCCTGTCTTCAGCTCTGGCAAATCCGCATTCCGTGTCCCATTGGGAAACTACGACACGTGCTTTTATTCTGAATTCCGAGTGCTGGCCGACCACACCGAGCAGCTCAGGGGACAGGACAGTGAGAGCAGCTGGGCATGCAGGACGCCCAGACCCTCCCGATACCCGTCTCCACCCAGCAGCCAGTGTTCCGAGCCACTTCCACCTTGAACCCTCCAATGCTGTCCCCAGCGGTTCTCCAGATAAAGGCTCAGCCCCCACGCCGCCATCACCCGGAGCCTTGAGACTCCTCCAGGCTGTCCCTTGTCTGGGATGCTCTCTCTCAGACCTCAATGCACCTACACTGGGGGTCCTTCCAGGCACCCCCTCCAATGCAGCCCCCTCCCCATCGCCTGTGTCTTTGGTTTAATATCAGCTTTACCGTGAAAACAACCTCAGAGACTCCAGGCACGGGGCCCAGCACACAGCATCCAGGCTCTCTGTCTGGTGAGGGCTCAGGGAGGGGACCCTCCATGGCCTGGCCCGTCCTCCAGGCAGCAACACATGTGGCACATTCAGCCTAACACGTCATGCACATGCCAGGCCCCGTGGTCTGCTCCCCACTGCTCAACCTCCCTCACGCCCATGTGCTATGTAGATGCTGGAGGCCAAGCCTCCCCCTGTCGCCCCAACTCTCCTGCCATTCAGGGGCACAGGCAGGGAAGAGCGAGGCCCTAAGTACCCCCCAGGTGACAAAAGACCCGAAGGCCCTGGTATTTCCATCAACGAACCAAGTCCCTACTGAGTTCCTGCCCCAAACGGAGTTCTGGAGCAGTGGCTGAGGTCAGCAACGCACAGCCCGAGAAGTGGTTGGCCAAGCACAACCGCACCTGACCCTAACCGATGGGCCACACCTCGAGCAGCACTGTCACATCTGAACTTCCTCTGCCGATGAGCATTCTAAGTCTCTGTCACCCTGTCCGACACTAGCCACTGGCCACAAGAGCCCCCAGAGTGCTTGAAGTGGGGCTTGCCACACAACGCAGCTCCGGACCAACTAGCAAACTACAGGAAACCGAGGGCAGAGACACACCAGATAACACCACAGAGGTTGACAGAGGCGTCGTCCAAGCCGGGATGCCATCGGAGCCAGTTTCCACAAGTTGCATGAGGAAGGAGAGCACTGAGGGAAAGTGGACACCTCATCGGAAGACAAAAGACTACTTGCGCTGTGTGGGCCTTATTTGGATCCTAACTGAAACTACCAAAAACCCAGAGACAAGCCCAAACCTAAACATGCTGGCACAGACTGGGATCAGGGAATCACTCATCATCGTAGGTGTGACCACGGTGTGGCCACACACTCCAAGATGGTTTCACGTCAGAGAATGGGACAGCCAGAGTCTGGTTGGAAGACAGGTGAAGGTGTGGAGGCGCAGGATGGAGGGCGCCGGGTCCATAAGGCTCAGCCCATGATTTTGCCCATTTCTGCCTCTATTCAAATTATCCACGATAAAGCTTTAAAAACGGGAGAACAGCAACAATTTGCTGAGTAACGTCACCTCTCTCGGGCCACCTCCAGCAGTACCGTTAACCCAGGCCACCCTGCCTGCCTGCTGAGGCCTGCAGTCCGCTGTGGGCCAGTCGTGGGCCTTCTACCCACGTCTCGTGCCCCAGGCTGTCCAAGCAGTCTCAGGCGGAGGGTGGCTGTGAGACACTGATGACAGAGGTACCAGGCCTGAACCCACCAGAGGTGGCCACTGCTGCCACCCGAAAGGCAGGGCTGCTGGAGCACACCCTCACCCAGGATGCTCCCTGCCCTCTGAGCTTGGTCCCTCTGCCTTAGAGAAGACTCCCCTACCTCCCTCTCCCTGAGGACGGGGCCTGCAGGGCTGACCAGCAGAATGGCTAGGGCAGCCCATGGAGCCCCGATGGTTGTTTGGGGGATGAGGAGAGGGCCCATGTCCCTTGGGTGCCCGGTCCCCAAGTTCCAGAAGTCTCCCAGAGGCAGCTTCGGGGCGTAAAGAACCGTGTGGGGTCTACTCTGCTCCCTATCCACCTGTGTCTCAGGGCCCCACCTCAAGCTCAAAGGGACCAGCAACTCTGGAAATCCTGCTGGCTCAGGCCGGGCCAGGCCGTCAGCTCCCAGGACCTCCAAACCCAGGAACGGAGCCTATGGGAACACAGGCAACAGTCTTGGGTGCCAGCACTGCCCAAGGGGCTCCAGAGCCTGCACCCCACTGCCAGCCCCCAACCGACCCACCCGTGCTGCTTACTCCCTGCACAGCTCCTGGAGGCAGCTGAGCGCCACGTGCTGGGGAAGCAGAGAATGCCCAGGACGAGCCAGGCCTGACCTCAGCAGAGCCCAGCCCACCAGAGACGGAGGTACCTTCACCCACAGTATCCAGAAACAAGCAGTGGGGTGGCTCTGATGTAATTACGCAGGCACTGGTGCGGGCAAGAGGCCCGTCCCCACAGAGACAGCCGGGGTGGCAAATGCTCAAGTGGTCAGACAGCAAAGCAACAGGCCCAACGCCACCCCTGTGGCTCCCAGCTGATCCTGGAGAACCTGCTCTTCCCCCACCCCCAATTCCACCACCAAAGCCCCATGGACATCCAGACCACCCAGGAGAAGTACCCACCCCTACTTCACCCACCTACCCCAACAACATCCAAACTCACCTCAACACTGACCACAGGGTTCCTAACTAAAGGTGGCCACACACGGGGGCAGCCAGGGAATATTAGAGAACCAAGTTCCGGGACCCATCCCCAGATTTTTTTTGTTTTAAGATTTTATTTATTTATTCATGAGAGAGAGGCAGAGACACAGGGAGAGGGAGAAGCAGGCTCCCTGCAGGGACCCCGATGCGGGACTTGATCCTGGGACCCCTGGGTCATGCCCTGAGGGAGGGAGATGCTTAACTGCTGAGCCACCCGGGTGGGCCCCAACCCATCCCCAGATTTAACAAGCCTCAGGATGTTAAATGCTACCCGGTGGATCTAGCACGTGGCCACAGATGGAAGGGAGTCCTGGCTCGGGTGCCTGCAAGTGCCCACAAAATCCAAAGCGGGCCGCGGGAATGCAGATCGGCAGGCCCGGAGCTTGCCCCCGGCCTGGGGACAACTGTCTGCCAGTCTTGGTCCCCTGTACCCCGTCCATTCCAACTCTGGGTCCTGAGCACCTCAGTCAAGCCCCGCTCTGCCATGTGCTGGCCACTACTTGTTACGTGGGCAAGTCACACCACCTGAGTCTGTTTTCTCATCTGTCAAAGAGGAATCTTGGGGGTACCTCTGCCCCAGGGCCTTAAGGAGAGGCTTTAAGCACCGCAGTCCACAGCCAGAGCCTGGCACAGGGCTTGCACAGGGCAAGCTCTCCACAGAGGCTGCGCTATCGAGTCCCAGATGGACACCTGACAACAGCTCTCCGGCATGTAAGCCGCTGCCACCTGCCCCAGGATCACATCAGAGCCCTGGAAGGACGGAGGCCCTTAATGAGCCCAGTCCACCTCCCATCCTGCCCACTTCCTCACGGTTCCCTAGCGGTTGCCACACCGGGCTACCCCACACCCGCACACCACCCGTGCAGCTTCCCGGCCTGGTACACACAGTTCGACCCACAAGGGCTCACACATCCTTCACATCTTTGTGCCAACACCTCTTCCTGGAAGCCTTCCCAGCCAGAGCTGACGTCCTCCTGGCTCCCTCGGGCAGGGCTCCCGGGTACAGAGCAGCCCCCCAGGCCAGGCTGGGCCCTAATTAGCGGCTCCGTGCTGGCCGGTCCCCTCGGACACCTTCCACCCTGCCCCGCGCGCTGTCCCGCGTCCCCCTGGTCTCCCTGCAACTCGCGACTGCGGAGCCCCAGCAGGTGGGACGTTTCTGCTTTCAGAGAAGCCAGGATCCTTCTGCTTCGGCCCGGCCCGGGCCAGGTGGGGGGGGGGGTGCTGAGGGCCGCCCGCGGCCCCGGGTTTTCCTTATTTAGCCGGGCCGACCTCCGCGCGCTGGAGCCTCGCCCTGGGAGAGGCCTGGCCCGCGCTGCGTTTCCCCTGCAGAGGCCGGGACGCGCCCACGCCCTGCGAGGCCCGCCAGGCCGGCGGCCTGCCCGGCCGGGCCTCTCCCCGGAGCGCAGGGTGCAGGCGCGCCGAGCCCCCCGCCCCCGGGCGCCCCCGAGTCCCCGCGGCGCCATGGCAACCGCCGGCCGGGCGCGGGGCGGCGGGCTACTCACAGCGCGGTGGCGGCGGCGGGGATGCGCAGCGCGGGTCCGAGCGTCCGCAGTCCGCCGCCCGAGCAGTTGACGCGGCAGGCGGCGCCGGGCGCAGGGCCGCACAGGCAGGGGGGCGCGCACGGCCCGCAGCCGCGCCCGGGGCCCCCCGCCAGCGCCCCGAGCCACAGGCCCAGGCCCAGGGCGAGCGCCAGGCTGCCGGGCGCGGCGGGCGGCATCGTCAGGGCAGCGCGCGCATGGCCCCGGCCCGGCCCCCCAAGCCCCCGAGCCCGCCCCGGCGCCGGCGGCTCAGCCCGGGCCCGCGGACGGCATGGCGGGGCGCGGGGCGGGATCCGGCGGCGGCCGCGGCCTGTCTGCTCGCGCGACGCCCGCTCGGCGCTCGGGCCCGGCCGCGCTCTGCGCCCACGGCCGGCCGGTAGCGCGCTCGCGCTGCAGTGCGGCCCCGCCGCCGCCGCCGCTCCTCCTCCTCCTCCTCCTCCTCCTCCTCCTCCTCCTGCCTCCCCGCCCGAGCGGCGCGGGGCGGGGCGGCACGGGCGGCGCGGGCGGGCGGGGCGACGGTAGGCCCCGCCCCTCGCTCTGCAGGGCTCCCGCGGGGCGGGGCTCCCTCGGGCCCCGCCCCCCGCTCAGGGTGTGGGCGGGACGTCCCGGGGCCGCGGGCTCTGGTCCCGCGGGGGGCGGGGCCTCCGCGCAGCTGCACCGCCCCTTCCCCCTCCCCCCGGCGCCGGCGCCCCGGAGCCCCCGCGGTGGCCCACGTCGCGGCTGGGCAAGCACTAGGGGTGATGACCCCGCGGCCTCCGTGCCGCTCGGGCTCCGCCGTCTTCCGGGCCGCGGCGGCCAGTGTCCACTGTCACAGGGCGACGCCCCAGGTGCGCCTCCGCCGGCCAAGCGCAGCATCCCCGTCGCCGCCCCCCTGCAGCCAGGGCACGCGCATCCCTCCAAACCTAAAAATGAAGCACTCTAGTGGCTCCCAGGGCGGGGGACGGGGAATGGATAACTGCTAATGGATATGGGGTTTGCTTCTGGGATGGTGAGAACGTTCTGGAATTAGGTAGTGGCAGTGGTTGCACAGCCTGGTAAATATACTAAAAATTTAATAGAATTGGGCTCTTAAAAGGGTGAATGTTATGCTATGTAAATTGTATCTTTTTTATTTTTTTAAGATGTATTTATTTATTCAGAGAGAGAGAGGCAGAAACACAGGCAGAGGGAGAAGCAGGCTCCATGCAGGAAACCTGACGTGGGACTTGATCCCAGGTCTCCAGGATCACACCCTGGGCTGCAGGCGGCGCTAAGCCTCTGCACCACCAGGGCTGCCCGTATCTCTCTCTCTCTCTCTTTTTTTTTAAGATTTTATTTATTTATTCATAGAGACACACAGAGAGAGAAAGAGGCAGACACAGGCAGAGGGAGAAGCAGGCTCCATGCAGGGAGCCCGACATGGGACTCGGTCCTGGGCTCCAGGAACAGGCCCTGGACCAAAGGCAGGTGCTAAACTGCTGAGCCACCCAGGGATCCCCTGCCCTGTAAATTGTATCTCAACTTTTAATGCAAAAGTAATAAAATTGTTCTAGTGTTGGGCCACTGGTGGATGGATGCCTGATCTAGGCTGGCCAGTGGTCTCAGGGAGAAGTCCCCAGACTCGTGCATGGGCAAGGCTCCTGTCCACTGTCCTGAGACCCAGGGGCAGGCTGCATCCCAAGGCTGCACTACTTCCTTTCTGTGTTCTCTCTGCTTAAACCAGCTGGAAACAACTAAACCCACAAGCGCTCAGCCCATGCCCTGCTACCTCTCACTGGGAGAGTCCAAGCGGGGTCACTGTGGGACATCCTGCACCTCTGCTATTCACCCAGGCATGAAGGGGCACCCAGATCCCTCACTGTGCTCATCTGTGTGATAGAAATAGCAAGCCAATGTCTTAGGGCTGAGGGAGGATCACATCCAGTGCAGAGCCAGCTCTCAGGAAAGATCCAGGGAAAAACAAGTGGGCGCCCTGTGCAGGCAAATGGCCAGGGATGAACAAGGAACAGGTAGCTTGCCATGTCCTGGCAGTCCAATGACCCAGGAAGAAGCAGAGCATCTCCCAAGTGACCTGGCGAGTGTAGTCCAGCTCCGGCAGTGTGGTCTTCTCAGGCTCTACTCCCACAAAGCCCTTTGTCTCCAACTCTGAGTGTCTTGGGCCAATTCTCTCCTGAGTAGGGAGAAGGACTTAGGTTAGACACCAGGGGGAAGAGGGAGGGTAGAGCCTTCGAGCCCCAAGGGCTTCAGGAAACTTTGTATACAGTCACAAGAGTGCTTGGGAACCCAGTTTGGAAAAAATTGGTGTGAGGTCTAAGTCCAGGTGGGATTGATGAGATAAGGCAGGGGAAGGGAGGGAGGAGCCCTGGAACTGGGGAGAGAAGGAGGAGGCTCAGAGGGTACCCTACCTGGGGTTTGGGTGCTGGGGTCGATGGAGAAGCTGTTTGCTGTGTGGAGATGCCCTTGGGGAGGAGGGGTGTGGAGGGGAAGGTGAGGAGGAGGTTTTGCACGCATGCGGCCATAGCCCACTCGAGAACATGCCCAGAGTGCAACTGGAGGCCTGGTGTGAAGCTGGGAGGGGGTGAGCAGCCTTGGGGCAGATGTAAAACTCCAGAGGCACGGAACCCCATCGTAAAGGAAAAGAAAGAGGCCTTGGAGAGAGTCTGAGTGAGAGCCCCCCAGAAATAGGAGGAAACTGAGGCACAGTGTGTGGATGTCAAGGGAGAGGCTATAAGAGGAGAAGCCAGCAGGGCTTGGGCTACAGAAACAGGGAAGGGGCTGGGGATGGTGCAGCCACACAACCATCCGTGGTCCTCCCTCACTGCACAGGCCCACGTGTCCCCCCCGCCTTGGGGCCTCTAGAACTCTCTATGACCTCCCACCTCCTAGCCTTTCTCCACATTGTTCCTTTTGTCTGGAACGCTTTCCCATCCCACCTCCATGATTGCTTATGCTTGCAGGGTCAGCAATTGCCTCCTCCTCCAGGAAGCTTCCCCAGGCTCCATGCCATGTGCCGATTTGCATCACACATTCAGGTGACACATATTTATGAGCTATCTACTGCGGGCAGAACATGTGCCCCCATGTACGTCAATGCCCCTACTCCTCGGGGTCGTCCCGTCCCTCGGTCCTGCTGTGTCAACCCGCACAAAGCTGAAGGCGTGGTGTTCACCCGTGGTCTTTACTGAGGGCACCTGGAGGAGGGGTTAGACAGGAAGCCAGATGCTAGCAGCTTGGTGGCAAGTGGGGGAGTGTAGACGTGGCATGAGGCCCGTTATTTCCAGAAGCTTAGATGTGAGAGGAAAGAGGTGCACAGGAGGAGAACTTGAATGGGTCTCCCAGCTGGGGGAGGAGTGCCAGCAGAGAGGGAGAGGAGGGTGAGCCAGAGAGAGCACAGAGAGAGGTCAGTGGCGGCAGCTTCCTGAGAGATGGGAGGAGGAAACGCACATCTTGCACTTCTCCATCTTTCCTTCGCTGCCTTATCCCACTGAGTCTTCACACAACTCCAGGAGCTGGCTACTAGTCCTATTCCCTCTACTAAATGAGGCAACTGGGGCAGCCCGGTTCTCCTCTGCCTGTGTCTCTGCCTCTCTCTGTGTCTCTCATGAATAAATAAATAAAATCTTAAAACAACAAAAAAAAAGGGCAGCTCTGATGGCCCAGCGGTTTAGCACCGCCTTCAGCCCAGGGTGTGATCCTGGGATCCTGGATCGAGTCCCGCATCAGGCTCCCTGCATGGAGCCTGCTTCTCCCTCTGCCTGTGTCTCTGCCTCTCTCTCTCTCTCTCTCTGTCATGAATAAATAGATAAAAATCTTTAAAATAAAAAGTCACATGCTCTTCCAACTGAGCGAGCCAGGGGCCCTTCAAATTGTATGCTTTAAATATGTGCGGTGACTGGATATCAACTAGATCTCGATAAAGTTGTTTCTTAAATATCTAAACACTTATCGTGACAAAAAAGCAGATTAATGGTAATCAGGAACAAGAGGTGGGGAAAAAGGAATTACCACAAAGGGGATGAGAGAGTTTTGGGGGTAATAAAAACGCTTTATATTACAAGTATGGTGGTGGTTAAATGACTATTTGTCAATGCTCACCAATTTGTATAGTTAAAATTTGTGAATGTTACTGTACCTAAATTATGACTCAATGAAGCTCATTTTAGAAATCTGATCATATGGAAATTGAAATATCCTCTTTTAAGTAATGCTTGGGCAAAAAAAATCAAAATTAATATCAGATTGTATAGAAATGGATAGTAATGAGCATATATCTTACCAAATCTGGGGGATGCAAAGTTATACAGATAGAGATAACTGATAACATTACTGATAACTGATAACTGATAACATTACGTTTCTATTATTAAGCATAAAAAATCAAATTAGTATATATATATATTTTATTTTTATTTATGATAGTCACACACAGAGAGAGAGAGAGGCAGAGACACAGGCAGAGGGAGAAGCAGGCTCCATGCACCAGGAGCCTGATGTGGGATTCGATCCCGGGTCTCCAGGATCGGGCCCTGGGCCAAAGGCAGGTACCAAACCGCTGCGCCACCCAGGGATCCCTCAAATTAGTATATAAATTAAGCATTCATATCAACATTCTAGAAAAACAACTATAAAATAAACCAAAACAAAGTAAAAAGAAGGAAATTAGAAATCTAAGGGCATATATTAGTTATTTTATTTTATTTTTTTAAAAGATTTTATTTATTTATTTATTTATGAGAGATACACAGAGAGAGAGACACAGAGAGACGGAGGTAGAGACACAGGCAGAGACACAGGCAGAGGAAGAAGCAGGCTCCATGCAGGGAGCCTGACGTGGGACTCGATCCCGGGTCTCCAGGAACAGACCCTGGGCTGAAGGCGGCGCTAAACCACTGAGCCACCAGGGCTGCCCTAGTTATTTTATTTTTAAGTGTATTTCAAAAGTGCATGCATATGTAAAAACTTATCAAATTATACACTTTATTTTTTTAAGTTTTATTCCAGTAATCTCAATACACAGCGTAGGGCTTAGACTCACAACCCCGCAATCAAGAGTCCCACAGTCCCCGAACTGAGCCAGCCAGGCACCCCACTAGCATAAATTAGTTATTTTAAAAGAAAGAGAATTGATTAATACAATCAAGAGCTATTTTTAGGGACGCCTGGGGGGCTCAGCAGTTGAGTGTCTGCCTTCGGCTCAGGGCATGACCCTGGGGTCC